TTTAAAACAATTTCAAAACATTTTTGCCTCCTTAGCTAGAATGTAATAAGCCCATCAAAGGTGGTATCATTTACATATAAGAATCAATAAATATTTACTGATGATCAATCTGCTTTTTCTCAGAGAATGCATCCATTGTTTATAAATGGTTCTGTTTGTTAGACTTAGTCACTTGTAAGTTTTCCAAGTTTATGGGGTACACAAAGATGAATACATCCTCAAGGGCTAATTCTGGCACTATTTGGAGAAATTGTTACTACTCTCATTTAAAATGATATCTGTACTGACCCTGTTCATCAAATGAGGCAGATATGTTGCCTGGCAAATCTCTTTTACTACCACCAAAAAGCCTTTGTAGTTGTAACTTAAAATGGACAATCCTCTTCTTTCCAGTCACCAAAGGCGATGAGATTGTCAAATTTACACTTTTTCTACCCACACACTGAAGTAGAATAGTCAACACACTATAAATCATACGATTGTTGGCTTTTGGTTGATATTATAATTTATGTATTCATGTTTACTGTCATAATACTAAACTTTTATGGGGGAGAAATTATAAAATAATCAAATAAGCTATAAAAAGTACTATAAATAAAAAGTATGAAAAATACTACATAGGACTTTAAAAGCATACTTTAGATGGCCATGACTTTGTGTGTTTGTGTTGGGAAGCAGGGAGTGGGTCAGGGAAGGTATTTGTGAGTAAGTGATATTTTAGCTGAGAGCTGAAGGAAAAATAGGAATTTATTAGAGGAAGAGGGGAGGGTAACAGTCTTTTACATCAAAGGAATTGCAGGTCTCATGGCCCTGAGGTAGAAAGAAGTATAGTAAACTTGAGGACTAAAATATCAGAGTGGTTGGAATACACTGTGCCAGAGTGTCAGGGCAGAGGTGAACAATGAGGCTGAAGAGGTGGACCAGTGCACACAGGGTCATGTAGGCTTCATGAAGGATTTTGGTCTTTTTGGTTTTAATCTCACAAGTAACATGAATTGATTGGTGTTTTTACAAGACCACTCTGAGCAATCAGGCAAGACAAAGAAAAGAAGGCATCCAAACAGGAAAGAGAGAAATAAAATTATCTTTATTTGCAAATGATATGATCTTATATGTAGAAAATCCTAAGGATTCCACCAAAAATCTGCTAGAACTAAACAATGAATTCAGTAAAGTTGCAGGATACAAAATCAACATACAGAAAACAGCTGTGTTTCTATACACTAACAGCAAAACATCTGAAAAAGAAATAAATAATTCCATTCACTATAGCATCAAAACCAATAAAATACTAAGGAATAAATTTAACCAAGGAGGTGAAAGATCTGTACACTGAAAAGTACAAGACTTTGATGAAAGAAACTGAAGAAGACACAAATGGAACAATATCCCATGTTCATGGATCCGAAGAATTAGCATTGTTAAAATGTCCATACTACCCAAAGCCATCTATAGATTCAATGCAATCCCTATTTAAATTCCAATGGCATTTTTTTCACAGAAATAGAAAAACAATCCTAAAATTTGTATAGAGCCACAAGAGAACCTGAGTAGCCAAAACAATCTCAAGAAAGAATAACAAAGCATCATACTTCCTGATTTCAAGCTATACTACAAAGCTATAGTAATCAAAATAGTATAGCACTGGCATAAAAATAGACACCCAAGCCAACGGAACAGAATCGAGAGCCCAGAAATAAACCACACATAAACAGTCAACTAATATTTGACAAGGGAGCCACGAATACTCAATGGAGAAAGAATAGTATCTTCAATAATAAATAGGACTGGGAAAACTGGATAACCACATGCAGAAGAACGAAATTAGACTCGTATCTTACCCCACTCACAAAAATGAACGTGAAATGGATTTAAGTCTTAAATGTAAGACCTGTACCATAAAACTCCTAGAAAAAAACACAGAAAAAAAGCTCCTTGACTTCACAGAGATTTTCTGGATATGACAGTAAACCACAAGCAACAAAAGCAAAATAAATAAGTGGGACTACATCAAACTAGAAAGCTTCTGTAAAGCAAAAGAAATAAACAACAAAATGAAAAGGATGGGAGGATGGGAGAAAATATTTCCAAATCATATATCTGATAAGGGGTTAATATCCAAAATATATTAAGAATTCTTACAACTCAATAGCAAAAACCCAAAAAAACCCAATTAAAAAATGGGCAGAGGAACTGAATAGAAGTTTTCCAAAGAAGACATACAAATGGCCAAAAGGTACATGAAAAGGTAGTCAACATCAATAATCATTAGGGAAATGCAAATCAAAACCACAATACGTTATCACCTCAGGCCTGTTAAAATGGCTATCATCAAAAAGACAAGACAAAGAAAGACAAGTATTGGCGAGGGTACAGAGAAAAGGGAACCCTAGTGCACTGTTCGCGGGAATGCAAGTTGGTACAGCCACTACAGAAAATAAATATGGAGGTTACTCAAACCTGCTCTCCACAGAGGTCTGCCCTATGAGTTGGAGGCAGGGAGTCCCTGACTTCTTGGCAGCATTCTTCTGTAATTTAACATGTGCAACACAGAGCTGAGGAGTATGAGAAATACTGGTTACCTGACCCTCATATAGAGATACTGCAGCCCTTGACTAGAAGTTATAGGGAAACAGAACCTCACCTTCCTGGCCACACTCAGCTGAATTGAAGCTTCCATCATGATTATCTGGGGGTGAGGGGAGGGAAAGA